ATTCCCTAGATAGCACGCGCTTTTAAATTTCATTTTATATTTTTATAATACATTCAAAAACGATATTGACAAATATTTAGAAAAAAATTGTATCTAAAAAATGTTTAATGAAATTTGTATATTAAAATATACAAAAATAAATTGCTACGGCTCATGGTTTTACGTAAAAAATGACTTTTTCGAATTTCATTTTTAACGGAAAAGCCGGATTTAAGCACATGGAATTTATGGAGGATTAATAAAAATAAATTGATATTTAATAAAATGGACTGTGTTCTTTTTACGCACGATTGAATATTGAACCGAAACCCATATTTTTGCATGCGTTTATAAATATTTTCCAATTATTTTAATTGAGAACGTACGTTTGTAGTGCACAGCTGTGTATTTTAACAGCGAATACAGGGTGACACATCGCTCTCATTAGATTTCTTTCTTATTTGAGATTTGTACCACAATTTTTTTGTAAAGTGTGTAGATTACAGCGTGTACAACTTACAATACAATATGTAGAGCGTGTTAAAGTGTTGATTTTAAAACTATTTTTACTGGTAAGACCACAATTTTTTCTAGTTCATGAATATACTAAAAATTAAATAAAATGACGTTATAAAAATGCTCAAGTGTGTTCTATATCTCTTTTTTAGACAATAAGATCAATAACTTTACTAAAAATTGATATTTCTGTACGCTATTTTAATCATCATTTGCAAAAACAACAGTGAATAAAATAAAATTTTATTCACTCTTGTTTTTGCAAATTTACTTTCATTTTGCACTTGCTCTGGTTGTGTGAAGTATTAATACAACAATTCGCTCCCCCCTCTGTGAGCTATATTAGAAAGTATGTGCCTCCGTTGGTCACAATATGAGAAAAATATTCACCCACGTTTCGTATAAATGTAAGCGATATGCTCATATCGGAACCAATCCTCGGTTTATGTAAAGATTTTCAAAAAAATATGCACTTAGATGCATTTAGATATTAAGTAAACATTTTTTTTAATTTACTGCTTATTTAATTAAAAATATTTTTAGTAAATTAACTTCTAAATAGATAATATTTCAGTACTCTACTAGATATTAACAAAACCAAACGGTTGGAAACACACCATACTATTACTAATACGGAACTGTGTTATTGTATACAATAAGAATTCAATTCCATTTATAACCATATTAAGCGTATGATAACAGCTAAATAGATTGTGTGTAAGTATGTGCACTAATATATTAATTAAATTGCAGTATTGCTGAGCTCATACATATCGCATTATAATAGTTAATAAATTTATAAACTGAACAAATATAAAAAATAGAATTCTTTTGAGACTTAATTGAATTTTTAAGAAAAAAACTTAAACACACACTAACAATATGTGATAAATTAATTTCAATATTTTAAAAATATGATATTTGTAAGAAAATGATAATCAAGTGCACGAAAATTATGAAAAAATGTCATTATTTTAGCTCTACTATAAATACCTGTCATTTTATCATTTCTCCTATGTCATTTGTGCTGTGATAGATTGTATTGTTTGTTTTTGGACACTAATTTTTGTCAATTCTTTTGTGATATATAACAATGACTAAGGCTGTAATATTGGCCAAAACGTTTGTTCGTAGAATAAATAAAGATTTTTAAACTAAATAAAAACATAATTCAGCGTTTTTAGTACCTAATGTCCCAAGAAAATGAATTTAAGAGTAACATTAGTTATTACTCTTAAATTAATTTTAGAACAGCATAGAGGTAGAGCTCACGTCTACCATATTGAAAATCAGAAGTTTATAAACTTGTTGCCGGTATCCTATCAGCCATGTTTCTTAATAATAAAAACTTTGGGTAAATAGGTCGACTCAGCTTTAAATAGGATTGACATTGTTGTAAAGAGAGAACAAAAATTATAATAATTAATATTAACGTAAGAGGGAAAAATGGACCAAAATGAATTAATATCATTTAGGCAATAATTGTCAGGTTTTTCTATAAAAAAATCTATAACATAGATTAAAAAAATTAGGTATAAAATAATTATAATAAAGAACGTATATTTTAGATGATACAGATTTGCTAACGAGATCAGACAAAAGATGCACTTCATATTTTTTTCTGTCTCGTTATCTTTTCTTACTAATCTATTCCTTGCTTAGCTACTAAGATCATTAATAATTTCGTGAAAGACGTTGGATTCCACAGCAATAGCACTGCATCTCGTAAAATGAGAGAGGCAAAGACGACAGAACAATGAAGCTGCTTATGTAGCTTTCAGATTACACAATTACATTTCACTTTAGTAACAAATTTTGTTTCAGAACAGATTATCTTTTTTCTTTAATTTTAATAACTAACTAACCTATCTTCTTCTTACAGTGCCATACTCTATACAGAGCGTCGGCTACCTCTCGCATGTACTTGTGATGTGTGTCATCAGTGTTTAACAAGTACACAGGACCAACAATTTATTGCCGAATTCACCGAACAAAGAAAGAACAGTATAACCGTTGCCAAACGTTTGAAATAAACAGAAAAACTGTACATTGATAAGAGACATGGAAGGAGATATAGTAGATTTCGTGGCGGTCGACCGGTCGAGCCAATCAGTATATAATTCTAAGAAAGGGAGTAAATCATGTATTGAGCTTCAACGATTTAAATACGTCTCGTGCTTTATTTGTTTATTTATTAACGAGTCGTTGTAATTTTTCCTATAGCTTGTAAATTTTTAAGTGCAAGTTAGAAACACTTGCACTTTTGGTAAAAATAAATGGAATTGATTTGGTATTTGACACTATTGGAACTCTGAATTCAAAAATCGATATCTCAAAATCCATAAGAAATAATTGATTGTCGTTGTTTTCGAAAACGGATTGTACCCATATTATCGGGATAAGCTATTTGATTACTTCCGACAAAAGAACCTCTTAGCTGAAAATAGGTATGGCTTTGTATTTTGCATATAATAAATTGTATGTGTGCCTGTTACAGTGAACGTCGAAAATTCAGTTATTGTTAAAATTCACTAGGAAATGCTAACAATTACGCATTGGACTAGCGAATGTGGTATTTTAAAGATATTTGTCGACTTTTCCTATTAATTTCTAACATTCACTATAGTGAAAGTAAAATTTACTAAAGGTTGCCAGTAAAACTTATTCTATTGCATAGGGCGAGTGTGGCGAGGAAGAATGTTGGTGGAAGTTAGAACAAATAAAACTTTTAAGAATATTGGATCACCTCAATATTCAAGGTGATCCACATATCTTAAAATTACAATTTGCTTCTGTAAAACTTGGAAAATAAGTTCGTTATAATAATGATTTTATTTATTCACTATTCTAATAAACAATGTGCATTCTTTCGGAACCTCTCTATTTATTTATTTGGTAATGCTAAAACACTCTATTTGAAAGTCGATTAGAGAAAACAGTATGATTCATTGGCAAGCAATGTAAATATTTGTGATCAGGTAAAATTGTGATGTAAGAGGAGGCTTAGCTCGGCAGGCTAGTCAGTTGTTGATAGGCCGGCCGGCTGTGTAGTGTTGTGTTTTGTCACAGAGCTGACATTTGGAAGTAGCGAGTCTTTTGACTATGGGAGTTAAAAACCTCTTGACGTCGTTCCTTCGAGGATGGTCTTGAGAGTTTGAGGTCTCTCTTGCTTCTCGATTGACACCGCTGGGGCGTTGTGTGTGGACCCCAATTAGCCCCATCGATTGGGATGCGAATCTGTTTAGCGGCAGATTTGCGTCCGGGGAAGCCCTCCCTATACTATTTCAGGTGACACTAGCTAGTTGTTGAAGATAATTAACCAATAGATCCGAGTAATATTTGAATTAGATGGAAGATATGGAATGGGATATATTGAATAGAATGTCAGTGATGTCAGTGGCTAGGGGGCGGAGTACCCCCGGGTGAGTCTTACTATTTAACTATCAATTTTATCCAGATCAGTAAATGTTTGTTTTGTTATTTTCATGTACAATGAGAGAGTGCTTGCCAATGACCAACCAAATGGATATTTGAGGTGAATTTGCATTGTGAGACCCGGTTGAGTAAGCCCCAAAAATAACGATTTTACACTTCTTTAGTATCTTTATTCAAAATTATAGAACATAACAACATAACATTCTAAATATTAAAAGAGAAAACATAGTAAACGTTTTAAAGCATACAAAACAATTAATAAAAACATTCATGAACATAAGATTATTTATTGGTACAAGGTTTTTTAATAAAGCTCTTCATCGTGGACAAAATAAAGTATGCCAAAATTTTCTTCAACAGGAGTTATTTGTCTTTTCAAACCCGCTACTTCAAGCATATCAAAACGTTTAATCAATTCATAGTCACTAGGTTTCTTAACATATATTTTCTCTTGCATGTTTGCTATGACTTCATTATATTGCAAAAATGAAAAACAAGCACTATTACATTCTTGCGAGTGCCTAATTTACCTTAATTTTTCACAGAAAATTTTCTCCATAGGGAAAATACCGCTCAGCACTTTTTACAACGATAACAAAACAATTAAACATAACCACAAAAAACAAAGCGAATTTACCCCACATGTCTGTCAACGTTGCCAGTGTTTAACCCAATTTAATGTTAGCCTATTATTCAACTTTTCCTTATTTATCCTTACATTTTACAACATGTGGCAACCGCGCTAACTGAATCTTTCAAACTCACTGCTACCGTCCAGGGAATGCTAGCATTCACTAGTAAAAGTTGGTTTCAAAAATAGCTGTTGAACTTTTACTAAATACTATAGTAATGCCAAAAACCAAACTGATTCATTTTCTTTTCTTCCGGAAAGCATTCCTTTCCCGTTCAATATTTTTTTTACTGTCCTCATAAAAGAAAACCCTCAAACCATCGTCCCAGTTCCCACCTATATTATCTACCCAAGGGCCATTACCGTCCCTAATGTGGCCTCCCGTTATAAATCTTCGCCTAGGCGCGCAACAATAAAGCGACAAAACAAATCTACTTACGTTTTTTGCCAGCCGCTTGACGGGCCGGCTGCCTTTCCACCACGTAATAACGGCGTCCGGGCGGGATCCGGACGTCCGGCACTCGACCTCGTATCTTTTGTCGGCCGATACGTGTTTTTCTTTGGTGAGGATGCTCACGCTCTGCGGCTTCACTGCAATAAAGAGAGGAGAAAAAATTAGAGTTTTTGTGCCGGCTCGGTTTACAGGCTCGGGTAAAATCGGTGGTAATTAGAGGTCGGGTTTTATGGTTTGAAAAAAAAGGAATGAAAGAAAGATGGGTTTGTGTTGGAGCAAATTGATTATGGGTGTTCAGGAGTCTGCAAATAAAAAAAGAAATAAAGAGAAAAATAGTCTAACATTTATATAGTACATTTTTCTAACAACATATAAGCCAGTTTCAATAGAAAAAATATAAAAGGATAGTTTGTTATATGAAAGTTGAATAAAAAGTCTATTTTATATTATAGGCAAATATTGCGGTAAATTGTTATTATTATATTTTATACAGGGTTCGGCAATAATGCGTCGGGCATCTGTAGCTCCTATAATAAAAAACTTATGTATTTTGTTTAAGTGCAAACCTAAAGTATGTATTAGGATGTATTTTAGGAAAATATTTAAATTATACAGGGTGGTGCAAAAAAGTGTTAGTGGAACGGGCTGATTTTTTAAAGGGAACACCCTGTATATTATTATATTTTTGGTTTCTGATTTTGATCACTTTACACAATCCTAAGATATTAAAAATGTTTTGATAGTTTCAGAGATATTAACAAATAAACAAAATAGTATATTATTCAACGAGCATATAATGGTGGCTGTTATTCACGCGGATGAAGTTTCGCCTGCGGCTCGTGTCATAAATCATCCAAGTAAATAACAGCCATTATATGCGAGTAGAATACTATAAATTATCCAGGACTATCTAAAAATTTAGATAGTATTAATATAAGTTTTTATTTTTAATGTCAAAAAAATATTGAAGTATAACGAGTAAGTAACACGGAAACAAAACATTGAAATTTTCTTTAACTAGGTAGCTAACTAATTGAGCTTTAACTAAATAAAACAAAAATTATTTATTTACATTAAGGGTAATGTTTATATTCACACAATGTGACAAGTTAAATGTAGGGATGGAATTTGCACAGCTCTTGTTTTGAGTTTGGATCGAGATATCCGTGGAAGCGGTGAATAATGAATATTATTATTATTTCATAAACTCATGTATAATAATCAAATTATAGACGAGTCGTGAATAAAATTTATTTTTCAGCCTTTTAAAAAAATGTTAAAAATAGAAGAAACTTCCTGAAATTAAAACTACCGTATGATCGAAAAAAAACGGCGTCCAGTTGGCTGGGAAATGAACATCGATGACATTTCCCATATAAATTTACATATAAAATGACAGCGATCTTCATTCCATAGCCATCGCTGACGCCGTTTTTTCTCGATCATACGGTATATATACTAGGTATTTGCTATAAATGTTCTGTACTAACTTTGTTATAAATATAGTAATATTAAACCATACAGGGTGTTCAGAATTCTATGACAAACTTTCTGAAATATAAAATAATTTTACTTCGTTTTTTTAATGGAACATCCTGCATACTACTTTTTTGTCAGATGGAGAAAATTACAATTATTGTATTTATAGTATTTTAAATTTTTTAGCCCTTAAGCAAATATTTTCAAAAATACTAGACAAAAATAACTGGGTTGCTGTGATATAAAATTACTGTTGGAAACCCCATATATTATGTAATCAAATACCAGGAATATTCGCAAAACCCAAAAGAATAATATACAGGTGTTCCATTTAAAAACAAAACGACGAAAAACTATTTTGTATCTTAGAAAATTTGGCATAGAATTTTGAACAATCTGTATTGTCTAAGATTACGATATTTATAGTAAAGTAAGTGCATATCAACTATAGTAAATTTGTACAATAGTTTTGATTTTAGAACATTTCTAGTATTTTTAGTAATTTTTTTAATGAAAGCTAAAAAAATATATGTTTTTTTAATTTATTTATTAATATCTCTGAAACTATCAAAACGTATTTAATAATGTCTTCGAATTATGTAAAGTTATCAGAAAGAAAGCAAAAAATGCTATAATATACAGAGTATTCCATTTAATAAAATCATCCCGATCCACTAAGACCTTTTTGAAACAGCCTGTATAAGTTAAAATATTTTTTCTGAAATATATCCTAATACATACTTCATGTTTCCACTTAAAAAACTTAATTACAGGCAGTCCTCGTACTTACGGCAGGTTAGGTTCTTCAAAACAGCGCCTTAAGTCGAAATGACGTAAGTCGAATCTTATTTTGTCATAAGATCCTATAGAAAATGGGGAAGTTAGGTACTTTTGTAAGATAAAAATAAAATAAAACAAAGGGATATGCTTTGTATATATTAATATTATGCTATTTTTAAATAATTGAGGTTTGAGAAACAGTGTATTGTATAATATGTAGTATAATATATATGTTATAATAAAACAAAAAGCAAAAAAAAAACAGAAAACAAAAAAAAAACAAAAATATAAATAACGAATTATATTTTAGAAAGTATTTTTTATGAAAAACAAATCAGGGCGAGTATTTTTACAGTCACACTTTTTCACTATTTAGTCATAAAAAGTACTTTTAATTATCCACAATAGTAAATATAATACTATATGGCAACCACAAAAATACCAGAGAGTAAAGTAGATATATTTATAAAGTAGATATTTATTTATTTTTGATTGGAACATTTATTGTGGTTGTCATCAAATGTCGTAATAGTTACTAATTAAGGAATGAGCAACACTGTCCCGCTTTTGCATTATGAAGATAACCCTGCTTGTATGCTGCTAAAATTTAATTGTTTATGTCAAAACTTCTTTCAAAATTTGGATCATCTTTTTAAAAAATGACGTAACTCGAAACAGTGGGACGTAACTTTGAGGAATAGTGACAAAAATTTGTTCGACGTAACTTGAAACGACGTAACACGAAACGACGTAAATCGAGGACTGCCTGTACTTTATTATATGAGATACAGACATGCCCGATGCACAATTGCCGTACCCTGTATTAAAAACTGTTCACAAAATCCAGAACTTTAAACTGCGTTGGGGGACTGGCGAATTAGTGTTTTATTTTGCTGTTGTAACACCTAAGTTTCCAACCCCAGACTATAATAGCAAAATTAAACACTAATTTAACAGAATACACCAAAATACTTTAGTTTTAACAATTGATGTGCGTTTACTAACCATTATCAGCAGGTGATTAAAACTAAACTGAAGCGCGAAACGCGCATCCTTTGATAAAAGTAAAGTGTTTTGCTGTACTGTGGCGAATTAGTGTTTTATTTTGCGGTTGTAATACCACAGGTTCCAACCCCCCAACTACAACCAACTGTAATAACAAACATTTATAGCAATGGATTCAACTATTTTACGAGTATATATTTAGCTATGAGTATAGAAAGTTGTTAAACTACTAAGTTGGCTTAAAATAATACTAAAAGTTTGTGTTCTTGCATACAATTATAGAATCCATTTAGTTCAACACCTGGATTGAGATAAATGCAAATGTAAAATAAACTCGATGAGTCGTTTCCCACCTATGTCTATAGATGAATACGACCAAAGGAATTACAATAATTTACCATTAATAGTCGAGAAACAAAGAACGAGCAGGTTTATAAAAATAAAACTACAATTAACAACGGTTTTATTGTGTAGTTTTACGTTAGAATGTGCATAATGTTAAATGCTTTTTAGATATTGCTTTAATTAGAAAATAAAGGTATCCGATAAACGATAGTATAGCAACTTTTATCAACATAACAGAAAACTGAACATTGCATTATAGATGGTTGTTACAAGTCATTTTTCTTTCTCATAATTGGTGGGTATATGAAGCTCATTTTATTTTTCTCTTTAATTTATATAAAATAATAGCTAAAATTGCATTATAGATGGTTGTTACAAGTCATTTTTCTTTTTCATAATTGGTCGGTATATGGGACTCATTTTATTTCTTTCTTTAATTTATATAAAATAATAGCTAAAATTGCATTATAGATGGTTGTTACAAGTCATTTTTCTTTTTTATAATTGGTCGGTATATGAAGCTCATTTTTTTTTTAATTTCTATAAAATAATAGCTAAAATTGCATTGTAGATGGTTGTTACAAGTCATTTTTCTTTTTCATAATTGGTCGGTATATGAAGCTCATTTTATTTTTCTCTTTAGTTTATATAAAATAATAGCTAAAAATGCATTATAGATGGTTGTTACAAGTCATTTTTCTTTTTCATAATTGGTCGGTATATGAAGCTCATTTTATTTTTCTCTTTAATTTATATAAAATAATAGCTAAAATTGCATTATAGATGGTTGTTACAAGTCATTTTTCTTTTTCATAATTGGTCGGTATATGGGGCTCATTTTATTTTTTCTTTAATTTATATAAAATAATAGCTAAAAGTAAAATTATTGAATAAAATATAAAAATATATTAGAATATACAAAAAATAAATATTAAAAAAGATTAAATAAAGAAATAAAAACACTAAATCACCACAATACACCAAAACACTTTTACTTTTGCACTGGACGCGCGTTTCGCTAACCATCTTAGCATCATCAGAAGATGACTATAAACTCTCTCACTCTAGTTTATAATCATCTGCTGATGATGCTAACATGGTTAGCGAAACGCGCGTCCAGTGTAAAAGTAAAAGTGTTTTGGTGTATTGTGGTGATTTAGTGTTTTATTTTGCTGTGTAACACCAAAGGTTCCAACCCTCAACTGTAATAAATAAAGAAATATTATATTATTTATATACAACAATAAAAAAAATCATACTAATTAGACAAATCTATTAATAAAAGTGCATATAGTTATTAAGTACGGTTAAGTTATTGATTTTTTGTTTTTATTTAATAATATTTAATTTGGATAAAGACCTGAGAATAGATACTTAGTTTTTAAAAATAGTAGGCAATTATTCAGCAGTTTTTGAATTTTACAATGGACATGCACTGGACGCCACAGCATTTAAAAATTAAAATTAAAATCTTAAATATGGGTATCCCTGATGACACATTTCCAAAATAAATTGAATAAATTTTACA